TTTTGATGATGTTTGGCAATGGATTTTTCGGTGTACCCGACTGCTGCTATTCTTTGGAGGGATGTTTTTTTTTTTTTTTTTTTTTTTTTTTTTTTTTTTTTTTTTTTTTTTTTTTTTTTTTTTTTTTTTTTGGAGGGATGTTTTTTTTTTTTTTTTTTTTTTTTTTTTTTTTTGCAGTTCATGGAACGTGTGTTGTGCATGTCGTCTCGGCATGTCTGCGTTATTTTCCAAAAAGCTCTTCTACTTCGTTTTTGCATTGACGAATGACATGCATCTCGTTTGTGGAACCCGAAAAGCTTCGTTGTTGCATTGACGACTGACATGCATGAGCGAACACGGGCTCATACACAAGAAGATGCGGACGACGATGCGATGGCCATTCACGCGTGCGTCATGTCATAAAACCACACAGAAGACAACGACGACATGACTCCGTGCGCAATCTTTGGCATGCAAACACAAGACATGGAAAAAGCAACACACATTTCACTGAGTTCATATTACATAAAGTCAATCGCATACGCGGCGATTCCCCCTTCTGTCTGACTATGGACACTTCAAGCGTTCCGCAGTACACACGGACTGGTCCTGCCGTCTACACAAATTTCAGCGGAGCAGTCCGCCGACCCAATAAACCCTGTGGCGGAGCAGTCCGCCGACCCAATAAACCCTACGGCGGAGCAAGCGTACCGAGTGCGCTCCAATCACCTAATAATGACACAAAAAAAACGAATGCATCCTTCACTACACATGCACCACGACGAGTGCAAGCGGACATATACATGACGACCCTCGAGACCAGACACTCGAGTCGACGATCCGCACCCTGACGCTGCGCCACGGACGCACCCACGTGTCAACCGTCCTCGTCTSCCACTTCCTCCGCCGCAGGCCCGCTGCCAATCCATCCGTGTTTCGCGGCTTCCGCCGCGTTCTTCAGGGCCGCGTTGTGGCCAAACACCAACCCGCAGTCACACCATTCCGGAATGCAGTGCGGGTATTCTCCCAGCGTGAGGTGAGCCTTCCCTATACGATCCAAGACGAGGTTCGCGCTGTCGACGATGTGTCGCCGCCAGTTGAAGATGTACGACCCCGCCGCTATCATTGTCGGTTTGGCGACTATGGATGAGTAAARGCACGCCTCGTAGTACGAACGGTCGTCGTCACCACCCRTGCGCATGATCCACATGCACGCGCTCAACAACGCTCGAAGACAGTCCGCAAGCCTAGACAACCTCTCCTGTTTCACGCGCCCGCCGTCCGCCCATTGTCCACACCACAGTGCGTCTGTCCAGCACTCCACAATGYRAAGAACTATCGCCTCCTGCCGTGCCGCCATGTCGTCGTCCTCGGGCCGATCCACTATCTTCACCCATGTGAACCACAGAGGCACGTCCATCTTCAGCGCGAGAGTGTGGTACACGAGTGCAGGGGACACGACGTTCGACCATTCCTGCCCCTGCCAAACTGCTCGGCGACGTCCGTGGCAACGTCGAYACTGATGTACGACTCTGCACGAGCGAATCCAGCCGACYGCGACGACGATTTGAAGATCCATCCGTGGATCGCGCGCARCACCAGTTTCTCGACGTTGCACGCTCTGCGCAGMGCCGGTTCACGCTGCGCAGGGTCCTCGATCTTGAAGCGCGGCACGTCGTTCGGCGGCAGTATGAGCATCGCAGGCGGTTCAGCTCCYGCRTCTCCGTTGGCGATTGCGATGAAGTAGTCCGCGCACTCGCCAACCGCCTCCCTCAAGGGTTTCCCCAGTCCTTGACCCCAGAAAGAGTCGCAATCAACCCACAATTTCGATCTTTCGTGCAGACCATCCTCCTTTGCGGCTCCCTTCAACCTCGTCACAAGTGGACGGTCGTCGYCGTCGTCGCCCTCCCGCTTTCCGTCTCTTCTTCCCTCGTCGTGGAGGACGTCGTCTACCCTCTCCTCACCCGCACCTTCGACGACTCTGGTTCTACCACTATGATCCGCCGCCGCCGTCCGAGTGCCGATCGCCGTTGCATCGCCCTTTTGCCCGGGCTGTGCTTTCCCCCCCCCTGAAGCCCCCAGCTGTTGCAGTGGAAGTGCCTGACGTGGCTGGCCCTGCCCCGTCGCCGCGGGAAGTTGCCTCGGGACGCGTACCTTCGGGGTCCTTTGCGACGCCCTGGCAGCACCAACAGCAATGCTCTGCTTGACAGCGGACAGTTGTTCTCTCGTCACCCCATCCCGCCCGAAACCCAATCGCGGCGCCGCTGAAGTACCTTGCGCGTCCACCATCACCACTTCTTCTGGCTGGAAGTCTGCAGTGTGCTCGGAGCTCGACTCTTCAACGCGCTGCCTTTTCGGCTTAGGGATGTGCCCTCTGCCTCTCTTGGTTTCCCCCTCGTCGCCCGCCCCGCTATTTTGTCTGGCCTTCACTGATGCGTTCCTCAGGGCCATGTCATCCACAACTCATCAACGACGAACACGTGGACGAAGGAGCGAGTCGACGAAGTAGCACGTGGAAGTACGACGCCTGGAGATCGACGACTGCCACGTCGACGAAGGAGGACGTGGACGATGCGCAGTCGTGGTGGGCAGGAGGCGCGACGATGATGGCCACAGAAAAAAGAGCACGTGCTTGCGGCGCGTGAGGGGGGACTGCACGCGGTGCACAAAGCTCGAGCGTGGAGCTGCAAAGAGTGGGAAGTGCTGGCTTGCGGCGACGAATCAGTGATCAGACGACACCGTCGGAGACATGGACAATGGAGTACTGTCGTACAGACTGCGCGGTGCGCCAACGCCGCACACCGTGTACACGCCACGCCGTCCAGGACAGCCCGCCCCCTGGCCGATCGTACACGGACCGTTTTTTTCCCGAAGGCTTCTGGTGATCCGTCGTATGGCCAACAACGTGTGTGGGCGCGCAGGAGGACCATGGTGGAGGTCGAAAGACCCCGGCACCCTTCCGTCGCCCACCACCCCCCAAAAAAACAAACAGGAGGACCATGGTGGAGGCGCCCTTGTCCTCCATTGTCCCCTCCCACCCAAAAAATAAAAACACACCCTGCCACTTATTCCTTTATCCGACACCAAACCACCT